AAAACTAGCAATTGATTTTACTATACAGACCAGAACATGAATGTGAAGTTAAAGATAAATTAGTAAATTAGTGATGAATAATTTGCTTAATAAAATGAAAGCATGTAACTGGAGACAAATCAATTTGTAGAACAATAACAGAGGGGAAGTTTTAGGGGCTTCTTGGCCTTTATAGAAAGCTTAATGATTTCTGGGAAGTACTAAATAAAAGACTGTAATTTCTGGTTCATTTTATTCAAAAGAATCATGCTTGTATAAAACTCTGCCAGTACTGCGCTTGTTTCATTGTAAAGTTTAGGATGGAAACAAAAAGGTTAAATTCTTGAAATGCAGAGCATAAAATTGGCCAATCAGAAATCGTTTTCTTCTGTGAAATCTAGGTAGCTATGCAAGGTCTCCTATTGGTTACAATCTTCTAATGGTGAGGAGAAGTCTTATCACCTTACATAAACTGTTATAATTGTATCATGCTTGGCTATTTTTAATTCTTAAACTGATCAGAACTTTTTGGACGAAGTAAAATCATTGCAAACAAAGGGCCATCTGCAGGTATGGGGATGTCTGGAGCAAACCCACTAACAAAGTTTAGGGTCCTGTCCCGAAAGACTGTCCTCCACCCCCATCTGCTCTCACCTTAGGCAACATTGTGCAGAAGTGGATCCTGGATACAAAAGTTATGACTTATGGAATTTCCTTTCCCTCTGTCTCTCTCACACTCACACACACACACACACACACACACACACACACACACACGTCATTTCCCTACATAGAGAAATACATCTGGCCTCAAAACAGATAAGAAAGGCCAATATGGCACCAACGATCACCTCAGATTGAGGGACTGGTGGGACCTCATGAATCAATGATTCTTGAATTGTAACCCAGTTTCATTAATCTAGGTTATTGTGTTTATGTTTAATCATTTGTAACTGTTTTTCATTTAGTTATTCTTTTTATTAATCTAATTTTATTAAATTCAATTATTTCTGTGACCCACGGACCCTTCTCAAACCCATGCTGTTTCTCAACTCAGCACATGCATCGCCACGGCTCTATCTGAAACGTCAGGTCGTAAGACTCACCCAAACTGCTAATTTATGTGATTTCAGTCTCACTGTGACTCTGTTTGCCTTTTATCCAAACTTATGCTAGTCCTATGCTAGCATTAGTATTGTTATGCAGGCTGCTCAAAAGCCATATGTTAATTTTGAGTCACAGCTATTTACAGTATTTGCTCTGTGAATTTAATACCTCTGGTTTTCTCTTTGTAATTGTCAGCTAAATCATGAGATTGTTAGAAACGGGAAAAAACGGTGGCAGCTCTATACCAGAGCTCACTTCTGAACAAGTCACTGTCAAACTGGTACAAGGTAAAATATGTGCAACTATATCTGTCACAAGCCACAAGTAAAACATGTAATGTCTTCTGAAGCTTTAGATATCTGTGTTTTATCTAGAAATGGCTTTTTTTTATTTTCCATCCCACCTTAAATAGTGCAGCAATTACTTTCTGGTGGCAGCAAATTTTTTGTCCCACCTAAATGGAGCAGCAGTTACATTCTGGTGCCTAAATACAGAATGTTTATGGAAGAATGCAAGCATGAAAAATTAACAAATGAAAGGAAAAGGCACTTAACAAATGTTACGGATGGGTAAAAAAGAGAGCAAAGAAGTGATGAATAACATAAAGGAGATTATAAATTGCCAGTTAATGTAATATACATATTCAACTTTTGGTTTATCTGTATAAAAACTGACATTTCTGCAAAAAAAAAGTTGCATGCAAAGAGATACACAAAATACAGGAGACAATATGTTCTAAATATCATGTGCAGTACATCAGTAAAAGAATGCAATGCTAATTGATGTACATGTCCCTCTTACCAGCACACACCAGACCCACATCACTGTCATGGGAGCAGTTCTGTTTGAGTGAAGATGATGTTGGGCAGAAGTAAATTTCAGATTCATTGCCTCTACACTCAAGTGCCTCTGACCACACCTGACCCTCCCCTCTGCCAAAAGCAGCTGCTCCCAGCACCTCCACAGGAAGCCCACAGCCCAGCTCTCGACACACAACCTCTGCATCCTGCTGGTCAAAGTCAGCATCACACACTGTGGACCAGGTCTCTCCATGAAGCACCTCCACTCTCCCAGAACAGTGAGAACCACCAACCAGCCTGATTCTTTCTGAAATATTAACATGCGAGAATATAAATAAATTAATTAGACAAACATTTATGATCGAGAGAAATGTTTTCATGTGCTATACCAGTTTGGGATCACCCAGACATCAGAATCACTAGGCTGTCATTGTAATTGGTTGTCATTGCACTGTACGAATATGTGATCTATTTATCATCTATAAAGTGTTGATGTTTAGAAAAAATCCTTTTAATAAATATTTGTTTTATTACAATGTGTTTGATGTCTCAGTTTGTTTTTCTTTGACACCAAAAATGTAAGTGGTTATGTAGTGAAGAGTACCTGAACAAATGACTCCAGCATCTTTATTATGATCACAGTCATGTTTACCCCATCCTGGAGAAATACAGTTCTTCAGTGTAGACTCTGATCCACTACAATACACATCATCCATCCAGATTGGTCCTGATCCTGGTCCAAAATAAGCATTGCTCAGTGCATGTAGAGCCTCCCCACATCCCAGCTCTCTACACACCACTGCAGCATCACTCATATCCCAGCTATTATCACACAATGTTCCCCACTGTCCTCTATGTAGAACCTCCACTCTCCCATCACAGCGACTGCCACCATCCACCAATCTCACACTGTCTGAACAGCAGAGAGAGAGAGAGAGAGAGAGAGAGAGAGAGAGAGAGAGGAATATTTCTACACTGAGATATACAGAATAAGAAATTATTTTACCTCAATATTCTTAATTATTAAATGTCAAATGTAGCACATCATTAAGAGAACGCAATGCTAACTGATGTACATGTCCCTCTTACCAGCACACACTAGACCCACATCACTGTCATGGGAGCAGTTGTGTTTAAGTGAAGATGGTGTTGGACAGAAATGAATCTGAGATTCGTGGCCTCTACACTGAAGCTCCTCTGACCACACCTGACCCTCCCCCCTGCCAAAAGCAGCTGCTCCCAGCACCTCCACAGGAAGCCCACAGCCCAGCTCTCGACACACAACCTCTGCATCCTGCTGGTCAAAGTAGGCATCACACACTGTGGACCAGGTCTCTCCATGAAGCACCTCCACTCTCCCAGAGCAGTGAGAACCACCAACCAGCTTGACTCCTGATTCAATGTTGTTGAAAGATATTGATTTCTTTATACGGTATTACAGGTTTTTTTTTTTGTCCAAAATAAAACTATTAAAGTCACAACTTTATAACATAATATTTCCAAAGACAAAAGTAAACAATTCATTTTGAAAGTCTTAAAAAAGACAAATAGAAAAAAATATGTATCATTTAGGAACCAGCAATACAATTTCATGTGAAAATAGAGATTATGCAGTTGTGTATAAGTGATATAATGCAATTAATAAAAAGAAGTCAAATGTACAAAAACTTTGCTTTTTTTCTTGAAACTTGCATGTTTCTAAAGACAAAAATATGTAAGATTAATTGTATTTGAACAGTGTTTTTAGAAATAAAGGAAAGATTCAACAACAATTTTGCAAATGAAAATAATTATGTCTATTAAAAGCTATTCAATGGAATAAGAATTCTAAAGTTAATCTTATTGAATAAATTTTTGAAATTCAGTTAATCCTACCTAAACAGACGACTCCAGCATCTTTAGAATGATCACAGTTATGTTTACCCCATCCTGGTGATACACAGTTCCTCAGTGTAGACTCTGATCCACTACAGCCAACAATACTCATCCAGATCGGTCCTGATCCTGGTCCAAAGTAAGCATCACTCAGTGCATCTACAGCCTCTCCACAGCCCAGCTCTCTACACACCACTGCAGCATCTCTCATATCCCACTTATCATCGCACACTGTTCCCCACAGTCCTCTATGAAGAACCTCCACTCTCCCAGCACAGCGACTGCCACCATCCACCAACCTCACACTGACTGTACAACAGAAGACAGAAAACACACATTTATGCGTGTGGCCATAACTACCTATAAAGCCACAAATGTCCAGACCTCTGTAGATTCAAAAGACTTTTTCCCTATGTATCCCCAGTCATGAGATTCACTGTGAAAACACTAATGTACTGATAAGCACGCTGCTACTACACCAGAGATATTGTAAAGTCTTTGTTGCTGCGCAGTCCAGTTTTAACTTTTTGAGAGGTACTTTCATGCATTAAAAGTAACACAGGTCAACACACCTATAGTCCAAAAGCAATTTGTTTACTATGTGAGTGTTCATGATGGCAATAAACAGATTACTCATTAAATGCTAACTTGATGATTTTTTTTAAAACTACTCTTTACTTTGTTTGCAGTAGCAGCTCAGGTTGGACAGAGATGATTTGCAATCAGGTTTCAAGCTCCATTGTTGGCTGTCAAGCAATTAAATGAGTTTTTTCAGTAATAACTGAGGACAGAGAAGCAAGAGATCAAGCATAAACAGGAAGACAGAGAGAGAGAGAGAGAGAGAGAGAGAGAGAGAGAGAGATTTTAGGAAAACACTCAGCTCCACATCATGGTTAAAAGGGAATGAACAGTCATTGTGGTGCTGGGAGAAATGATTTGGAAGTAGGAATCAAAATCAAACTCCAAAACAAGGTATTTTTCCAAAAACAAGGT